ACCAGGGTGCCACTGTCTTGTGTCAAGATTCACATTACTATTTGCAGAAATTGGCCTCTGTGATGCCTTCAGCTAGAATTCCCACTGCATAGAGTCTAGGAGATATAGGAGTTTGGGGCCCCGGCTCTTTGATGCCTGCTTATGTGATTTCCTTTCTTTTCTCTGGGTAGATTTCTTCTTCTCTTTGTTTGAGAGGTACTGGCACCTGGCCCACCTGTTTTGAACTGCACATTGTTCCCTGTCAGGGTACCCTGAGGCTACCCTCTCTTGCTTGGCAGGAAGAACAACCTGCTGAGTGGGATATGAGCCAAAAATGGATTTATAACAGGTAGAAACACATTCCATAAGATGCCTCTGGCAGGAGCACCTGTGGCATGTGACTATTTAACACTTTCTACTTCAATTTTGAAGTTCATGACTTCAACACTAAGTAGCAAATATGTTTCTAAACAGCCTTTAATTCAGAGGGGCAAATCACTTCCCTGAAACATTTCAGACCCATTCAATACTATTAGAGTACTATAATTCAGATGTCTTTATGCTTGATATTATTTACTGCTTATTTTTAAAAATTTTTAATTATAGTATTTGCTACTGGTCATTCTTGAGAAGTCTTTTTCCCCCTTTGGTTGCTGTAGTCTTACTTGTAATTCCAGATAGGAGGAAGGTCTAGATTTTGTACTGAATAGTTCAGTCAGTTCTTCCTGAAGTTTTACTGAAGCCACAGGAGGCATATACTACAGTTCCAAAGTGTTTTCAAATCATCTGCATTTGTGTACTCACTTCTTCGAGTGCAGAAGCCATGTAAAAAGTCTCCTAAATGATACGTGAATTCTCCATTTCTACATGAAAGCATACTGTCCCTCCAACTACACTTAGGCCCAGAGGCTTAAATAAAATCCTTTTCAGATTATTGTTAATGCTGTGCCTGATTCTGCAGCAGCTGTTGCTTTTGAACAATATGATGCTTCTCCTCCCCCAAGAAAAGTTGAAATGCCTCTTTTGCAGCACTTTCAACCTTTGTTGACTAAGGAAGCATAAAATAGACTGAGAAATGAGCACAAGGTTTCTGTTTGGGAATTCAGTACACAACTTAAAAACTATTGAGTTTAGCCACTTCCTGACATTGACTTTCATAGCAACAGTTTAATTTGGAGAAAAGCTGCTACCTCAAATGGCCAAAAGTATTTATGTGGAAAATTTTCCAAATGATTGACTTCACTGTGTTGCTGTTTTCTTTCTCCATGAATATGTGAGTATTTGGCTTTCTCCCAAGAGTTTTTCTGCATCACTTCTCTTTTGGCAAAGACATTTTTTCTATCCAGAGCAGAAAAAAGAAGCATAAAGAGTTTCCCATTTTTAATTGAAGAGTTGTTTGAGGTTAAGCTGTTGCATCTGCAAAAATGAAGAATTTCAATGTGTCTTCTATCCTTAAATTTTCCAGTGTAAATCTTCAAGGTCATTAGAGTATGAGCATCACCTTGGAGCCAGAACCTCTTGGTTAGCCCAGTGCTTCCTACAGCACAATCTTGTGTATCTCCTCCCCACCTATATCAATCCTACTGAAGGGCTTGTCTCCACTGCCTCTCTTACTTCCTTACTCCCACTGATTCTTCAGCCACCACTCTACAGACTGCCATGTCAATGACATTTAACCCAATAATTATTTCTAGACTATTTCTATAGCGTTTGATGTTGTTGATGCCATTTTTCTTACTTTTTAGGAACATTTATCCTCCTGTTCTTCCAAATAGTTCCCTCTTCTGTCCCTTTCTAAAGTGTTGTTTCCTTAGGAATTAATCCTGTGCCTACTTTTCTGACCCATGGTTCTCATCCCTGATGCTGGCATTTTCCCCATGACTTCAATTCCATTTTGTTGATGAAGATTTGCCATCTATCCCTCCAGCCCTGCTTTAGTGAAGGCATTTCTTTCTGTGTCTAAAATGAACATAGTTCCTTCTTTTCCTTGTTCCCAGTTTTAGGGAGGATCAACATTTTCCACTGTGCAAGACAGAATCCTTAAGTTCTTCCTCTATCAAATAAACTAAACTTTTTCTATTTTCAAAATTTTTCTTTACATCTTTAAAATCCAGGTCTTTTTCAGCCTCCTACCAGTTCCCCCCTTTTGCTGTAGATCAGAAAACTGTCAACTTCTATCTGGATAACTCTCTCATGCCTCCTTACCATCCATCTCCATATTGCAAGACAGATTTGTTCTAATCGTTACATTTCCCTGATCAAAGGCCCTTATGCTTGCAAAGTGCCCAGAACCCAGCCCCTCTTGCCTCTCCAGCCAGAATTCTTGGCACCTGTCATCTTGTATTGCTCAATTTTGGTCATACTAAATTTTGTTCAGTTCTTCAAGCTTACCATACTCTCTTGCCTCTAGGCTTTCACCTCTATTTTTTTCTGCCTGGTACATTCTTTCTATTCCCCACCCCACCCCTGTGAGGAATATTTTATTTTATTTTATTTTTTTACGTCTCAAGGGCTCTTCTTCTAAGATGCTCCTCCAGATGCCCCAAAGACTGGAAAAGATGCCTCTCCCAATGGCCCCTGCCCCATTCATTGTTCCACACATCACAAGCCCTGCTGTATTATAATTGTGTAGGTCTCTGCAGCTCCTGTTAGATTGCTAGTCCTGTGAGGAGAGGAGCCCATCTCCTGTGTTGCCAGTGCACTACAAGTGCCTAGCACAGCACTGGATGCCTGGCAGGCACTCAGCTCAATAAATATCTGTTAAATGAACAAATGAGCCTCCAGGTAAACTGTGAGTCAGCCTTCCCCATGACACAGGTATAAATGTCTTAATCTCATTTGTAGTTTCTTCCTCACTAGTCAAGATCCCCTGGCAGGAACAACCATTACTTTTCCACAAAACAGACAAAAACTTTGTTGCAGACGAAGCAACCTATATATCCCTCAGGAAGAGAAACTTTCCAAAGGTTTCAAGAATTAGCATATGGTAATTGCTAAATCCCAAGGTATCTTTTAATTGAACCTTCACAGTCATTCACTTAGCTTGTACTCAGTGCTTAAATTGAGTAGAACCTCATTAGGGAGGTTATGTCATGCCTTGGTGAAAATGGAGAAAATGAAAAATACAGCTTTTCATGACATGGAGGCATGGGGAGAGGGAGAGGTCTGGTCTGTGGTCCTTTAATCTGTGTCTTGACTGAACTGTCTCCTGATATGGGTGGGGGTCTGGAAGATCATGACCCTCCTCTTAGGATTTTCCTTCTAAATCCTATGCTAGATTTGTATTCAATAAATCTCCATTGAGTGTTTTCCTTCTTCTTCTCCCTATGCTTCTCTGTCAGTGCCAATTTCATGAGCAACAGTTTTAAGGATTATTCCTCCCCAGGAATATATCTTTCCAAGGAAACTATGTGATGCCAGGTTCAGTCACAGTACTTCCCTGCACCTGTCTATTTTGCATATCCATTAATTGTGTTCTTGCAACCCTGAGCCCTTCTCATGAGACCAGGATGAGGCAAATGAGGTGCCACTCTCAAGCACTTGCACCTGCTTCCTCTGCCTGGGAAGTGGCCTCCTTCTGCCCTCACCCCTCGGTGCTTCTCCAGCTCCTCATCTTTGAGATCCAGCTCAAATGCTGTCCCCTCCATGAAGATCTTGTTGACACCTATCCGTTATTCTCAAAACCCTGCAAGTTTGGTCATCTTACTTTCCTCCAAATTCCCAATGGACCTTATTTGTAACCTATCTTAAAGTCCTATGTGCCTTATTTGTAGGCGTATCTTCTTGTCCCTGTGTTAAACTATAAACTTAAGAACAGAATCTTTTTCTTCAGCATGACCATGCTATCTGGCACAGGATATGGCACACAGTAGTTATTCATAAGTCATTGTGGTGGGAGAGAAGAGGAGGAGAACATAGTAATTGCCTGGGAGTTCGAGGGTAAGGAGAAGCTTGGGATCTGAGACCAGTTGTTAAGGGTTTGATTTCTGGCTCTGCCATTTACTGGGTATGAGAGTTTAGACAAGTTACATCATTTGTCTGTGCTTCCATCTATTTATCTGTAAAATGTTATATAATGGTACTACAATGTATAATTATTGCAAAGACTCAATAAGATAAAGCATAAAGCACTTGGCCTAAGACCTGAAGGGTAGCCAGTACTCAATAAATGTCAGAACCCAGAATAAAAAGGCTCTAGTGAAGATAGCACCATAGAAATGCAGGAGTACACACTAAGGGCAAAGGACATTTGTGATGATGTCCCAAATAAATCAGAAACAAAACCATCAAGGACTTACGACAGAGTGATGTGAGGTATCCCTCAAAAGCTCATGTGTGAGGTGATGCAAAAAGGCTGAGAGGTTTAGTGATTGAGTTAGGAGAGCCTTAACCCAACCAGTGCATTAATCTCTAATAGGGATTAATGGAGTGCATTGGGGACATGACTTTGGGGTATATATTTTGTGTCTGGCAAGTGGAGTCTCTCTCTCTCTCTCTCTCTCTCTCTCTCTCTCTCTC